TAATAAAAAATTAATTTAAAAAAATTTTTTTGCGCTGAATCTTTTTCAGATATCATATCACTATTTTGAAGAAGGAAACGGAAAGGTATCAATATTAATAAAAGTTGGAAATGCAACGAATTAAATATTTTTCTTTATGATTAAACATTATAATAACTTTTATAGGTCGAATTTATCTAGTATATATATATATACTAGATAAAAGTTCGAGGTTTAATGGAGGAGTTCTCGCAGTAATACAATCTATTTTGTGAGGCTCTATAGGTTTAAAGTAGTATTTCAACATCAAATTATAGGAGATCAAGTTTTAAAAGAGGAGTTCTAGGTTCTAATTCCGTAAAAATAGGTTCATATAGGCTGTATGAGCATTAAAAGAGACGCTAAATTTCGACTCGGGTAGTTATCGTCTTGGAGTATGCGTGGCTACGGCACTGTTATTACTTCAGGTGGCAAAGCTTCCTCTATTCCAATCGTAGATTTGTCGGGGGAGTTTCTAACAGCAATTACGACGCTAATGGAGCCCCCACGGAGAGATGCCGGCCGACTTTCGCCAAAGTCTCTCATCCAGGACTACTCTTCGAGTTTCTGGGCTTTGCGACGACGATGTCGAAACTTCTCGTCGGTCCTGCAGTTTTTGCGCTTTCGTTTAGTTATCCACTAGTTTCCTGCGTCCTCGTTGATCTTTATCAACAAATTGCCGATTTACGACAATCTCTTCGTTCGATTTATTATTTCTAACTGAAAAGTCTTTTCGGCTTGTCGTATGACTTTCTTGAAACGACAGTTTTCACTGTCACCGATAATGATTTTGTACACATCGATTACGCAATGTCCAAACATGCGATAAAGATAGATAACAGCTGCATGCCTTTAACAGTTTCATCACATTCTAATGGAAAGTATAACAATCCTATCTAACGCGTGAAAGAATTCAAAATTAAATTTCGAAATCTAGAAATATATTTCGTAGATCCGTCAATTTTCTTATTTTACTTTGTGATTGAATGAAATAAAACGATGATACGTCATTTACAGCATCCTTCGCATCTAAGTGCCAGGACTTTGTGTGTACGTTGTGTATTTCATTTCAGACACACAACACGACAAGGAGAAGGATAAACATGAAGCCGAATACATGCTGCAGGAAAATGGCAAAGCAATGTACGAATAAGCTTGTTACAGATTGTGACGTATCTATCTAAAAATAAATACGAGACACATAAAGACTGGATAATGGATCGCCGCGCGATAAGACTCGCCGGTTTATTAACGTCTTGATACAGTACGAGAGAGGAGTCGCATAAAACTTTTACAGGCTGTATACGATTTCGTGCAGGGCAAACGCATGCTTTTACGAGGATGCTTCCGGCATCGAAACTTCTCGTCTTTCTTTTATTGCTCCGTAAAAGTAATCACGCTGCTCGTTTGTCGCTCTATTTTTTTTTCTAGTTGCATGCGATTCCGGATGCCGTGAAGTATCCTCTAACACGGCGGTTTATTTAACTTGTGTGTGTGACACTCTTCTTGTATTTTTAAAAATATTTTTTACACCCTCCTAAAAAAATCTATTTCCTGTTATTTCGTCTATAAAAAAAAATAAACACTGTGCAGAGATAAAAATTCATATGAAGGTTTCACCTCTGATTAAGAGATTTTCTATTTAAGCAATCTCCGTAGAAAAGCGCCGAAAATATGTCAGCGTCTATTGAGTAGATGAATTTGAATCGCAAGGATCTCGATTAACGATCAATCTGCACTTTGTGTCTGCAGGGAATTTATGCCACCGCAAACGAAGGAGAAGGATAAGACAGCGTCGCAGCAGCCATCGATGCCACCCGTGCCTTATTACAAACTCGTGAGTTTTTCTTACGAATAATTTATGAAGGTGTCCTCGGGTGAATATTTTAAGCACGGCGCTTTCAGCGAAAGGCGGCACATTTCAAGCATTGAGAATACGGAGTGTTTCAATCACTTCACTCTTCCTTTAAAAAACTTCATCAAAAAGAGACATTTTTTTTCGGATTTTGATCGCTTATGATTAAAGATGATAGATTTATGCATTTCTTACGGAAAAATCAATTCCAAATCGAGCTGGTGAAGCAAACGCGAAAGTTTGAAATACCCTGTATATTTTTTTTCCGCTACTCTAAACGAAATGGAGCATGCATTCTGGGGTGAAATGATCCGCCGGCGAAACCATTAAGAATGTTACTTTTCTCTCGATCGTGCCAGATGCGTGGAAGCATCTTTGAATACGCGACAGTGATTAATGATACGTTTTCTATGATGAACGACAGTTAACGACTTATTGTGAGATACATCTGTATAATTTTGTGCATTCTGCCCTAGTAGACCGTGAATCGTTTTACGCGCGAGGATTAAGCTGGAACATTATTTTTCACAACGTTATGAAAAATATTCGAATACGTTTTTTTTCGGTCAATTATGATTGTACGTGCGTAGGAGTAGTTGCGTAGTCGCTCGTTAATCATTGTTAGTCGGGTATTAATTTTGCAAGTTAAATCTTTCGGAAGGCGCAAATTCGCGCTGCTGAATCATTCAAAAATAAGCAACTTCGCCGTGCTGAATCACTCGAAGGTGTTTGCGAAATTTTCGAACACCTTGGGTGTTTACGATAATTCAAGTTCGAGTTAGTTTCACTACGACCGAAAAATGAGATAGACATAACCATCTAGAATCTTTATGATTTATGACAACTCAACGCTGTCTTGTATTGCTTGAGTTAAATTAATTGAATTTGTTGAGTTTATAGAGCAAATTTTATTGTAATAAAAAAATGTTAACTGCAAATCAGTCTATGAAAGAAACAAATAATGTTGGTATGTATGTTGGTATACCTCTTTAATAGATATAATTATATATATATGTATATAATTATATTTATTAAACTCAACAAATTCAATGAATTTAACTCAAGCAATACAAGACAGCGTTGAGTTGTCATGAATCATAAAGGTTCTAGATGGTTATGTATATCTCATTGTCGGTCCAAGTGAAACTAACTCGAACTTGAATTATCGTAAACACCCCTTGTTTCGAATGTAATGAATAATATTCTTTCCCACGCGTATATTCTTGTAGGCGTATTGTAATAATTTTCATATTAAAATGAGAATAATTGTGTTTCTAATAGTAAATTAATTTGGTAATTGTTTTAAATTTATCAGTTCCGATTTGCGACGTGGGGCGAGTTGATATTGATCTTCGCCAGCTTGATACTGGCCTCCTTAGTAGGTCTGTGCATTCCAATCGCGACAATCGAGTATGGAGAATTCAGTACGCTATTAGTGGATCGTAATATAGAAAATCACACGAGCACAAAAACCATCATAATGGAATTATTCGGAGGTGGAAAAGTTTTGTAAGTATATTGTTCTTCTTTCGAGATTCACAATTATTTCAGAGAATTTTCAAAATATGATTTAGCGTTACAACAAAAATATATATTTAAATAAATTTAAGCACACTTTAAACAATTCATAATCGACGATAGAATTTAGTATAGAAATCTATTCGTAATTTTATATAACAGAAAACATTTAAAGAACCGAAATATATACATATACAAAATACATATCAGCATAAAATTATAAACAAGATTGTATCCTGAATTTTTTGTCAATCTTCTAAATGGGCTTTCAGATATCTTTTTTCGTGAACGACAGCAAACACAGATCGCTGAAACTAACTGTTATTCTATTGATTCAGAGGCCCTAACGCATCGTACGAAGAAAGGATGGATGCTCTCTACAATGACGCGGTAGCTTTCGGCATATCCTGCGCGGTGTTATCGACAGTTCAGTTCTGTCTCGCAGTAGTCATGGTCGATTTGCTCAATGTCGCCGCTGGAAGACAAATTTCTAGGGTGCGCAAGATGTTCCTAAAAGCTGTCCTTAGACAGGACATGGCGTGGTACGATACCAATACGTCGACCAATTTCGCCAGCAGAATCACTGAGTGAGTTTTTTCTCCCCTTTTATCGCCACGCAGATGCGTGAATTGAAATGTCATGATGTTGTAATAATGTGAGTTACGTTGATCGATGATTTTTATGCATATCTCTCTCTCTTTCTCTCTTTCTGTCTTTATCGATAAATCAACAATAGATCGTCAAAAACAGCTTATGAAATTCGGAATAAACAAAATTAATCCTTTGCGAACGGCGGAAATGATTAATTTATTTATTCAGAACAGACGTTATTCGAGAAACACGATAGTTGCGCGAGCTTTTCGTTTGTCCAATATCTCGAGCGTCTCAAAGTTGCAACTTTCAAGCCGCAACATGTCAAGTGAAAAGTTAATCGGGATTAACAACTTCGACGCTGCGATGCCTTTTGTTTCCGCGGAATAATTTCAACGGGTATAATATTCTGTACCTTCATACGCCGGTGCATTCTCTCAAAGGGAGCGTTATACCTTCGATTTTCGAGACTGTCGATGTACATGCGAATGTGGGGAAGCGTAGAGCAAAGTTCACGAGGCGAGAACCGGTGTGTTCATCAACAGGTGGGCGTTTGCGAAACTCGAAAAGCCTGTTCCCACATCGTCTCTGCTTCCGCTCGTATTACGTCACATAGTAATTGAACGCGAGCCCTGTTTCGTCCTTTCAGTGAAGGTATCACTAACACCTACACTGTCTTTTCGTTTGTATATAGTTTATTTGTTCTTGTTTCATATATTTTTACAAACAATTACGTACGGAAAAAGATTTCGATTATGAGGACTCGAAAGTCCTATATTACCCACGACAACGCCTGAGGAACTTTTCGTCCTGAGTCGCGGCCGAAAACGCATACGTATCGTCTGGTCGAAACGATCGCGATGACGCCTAGGAATGTTTTTATTCTGAATCGCGACTGTCTATGCACACGTACTGTAACTGAAACCTTTTTATAGAAAAATGCGTCTATACCGGTCGGAAACCAAGACTCGAATGAATACCTCGGTCGATCTCTGAGCTGCCATGATCGAGATGATTTATGATTGGTCTCCTCGATCTCATGAAACCGCGCGTCCAATCATGCGAAAGAATAACATATTTTTCGGCACACTCTATAGCGTGCATGTACGTGTGCATGCGTCGACTTCGCTCGACCATAATATATATTTTTATGTGTATATTATATATATGTGTGTGTGTGTCGTGCACGACTTGTAACTCTACATAACAAGCACTCGTATTAAGTTATTAGTATACCCAAGCATAAATCGCGAAGACGTTAATTTTTATCTCGAAGCAGCTTGTTAATGCGGCGTAATTCACATCAACTGACGTTAAGAAATGAATTAGTACGCTACGATCTATCTGTAGACTGAATGTGTACAATCAGCACGATAACGGCGAAGTAGCATTACATCCGATATCTTGTAGCGCGTAAAAATATCGTTCTATTTCCAACAGTCTGCTATCTACACGAATTGTTTGACAATAGCTAGTGTTACATAAAGATGTTTAATCTTGTATCGGATGGCTCGAAAAATATAAGATAGCGACAACGCTGATAATAATGGCCGCTGATAGTAGCGTTCGATAAAAACAATCGAAATCTCGAACATGCGTTTTTTAAATTCAATTTTTTCGATGACTCTTTTCGAATTTCGTAAAAGATAATATATATTTACATTGGAATAAGGTTACGCGGATAATTTTAGTCAGTTATTGCATGATGATATACAGCGAGGGAAAGAGTCAACGTTGATTATTTTTTAAACAGGGATTTAGACAAGATGAAGGAAGGCATCGGGGAAAAACTCAGTATCTTCGTGTATTTGACGACCTCATTCATTTCTTCGATCATCATTTCGTTCGTGTACGGTTGGAAGTTAACTCTGGTCGTGTTAAGTTGCGCGCCGATCATAATAATCGCCACAGCCATAGTCGCCAAGGTGCAAAGTTCACTGTCAGCCTTAGAATTGGCGGCTTACGGTCAAGCCGGTAGCGTCGCCGAGGAAGTTCTCGCCTCCATTAGGACCGTGGTGGCTTTCAACGGCGAGCAGAAAGAGGTGGAGAGATACGCGGAGAAACTCGGGCCCGCAGAGAAGACGGGTATTAGAAGAGGAATGTGGTCGGGAATCGGGGGCGGTGTTATGTGGCTCATTATATATCTCAGCTACGCCCTGGCGTTTTGGTAAGATTATTATTTGTGGAAAAACGCGTTCAACATTCAAACAAATTTATCTTCTAATTTTCGCAAACTCTTTTAAGTAAAATCAGATATCGTGCAGATTTTATTCAAAAATTTCATTCTCATCAAAATCCTCTCTGATATCGATAGAACGTTGCTAGTTTGATAAAATCTGCAGTAACGAATTTTATTATTAATTTCGCTTGTCATATTTATCTGATAATACGCGCGTGAAAAATAATTTATGTTTGGAACGCTGCCGTAGGTTTTTACTCGACGACAAGTGTTAGCTGTCGAGGATGTGTCGCGCTCTGGTAAAAAGTGAAGCCTCTTTTGTACTACAGGTACGGTGTGCAATTAATCGTGGACGATCGCCCGAAGGAGGTGAAGGAGTACACGCCGGCGGTGTTGGTGATCGTGTTTTTCGGCGTTTTATCGGGCGCGCAAAACATGGGTCTGACCTCGCCGCATCTCGAGGCCTTTGCGGTCGCGAGGGGATCGGCAGCCGCGATTTTTCAACTTCTCGATCGCGTGCCGGTGATCGACAGTCTGAGCAAGGAGGGCAAGCGGCTGGAGGCCGTCAACGGCGAAATCGAATTCAAGAATGTCAAATTCTGTTATCCGGCGCGAAAGGATATTCAGGTGCTGCAGAGTTTGAATCTCAAGATCAATCACGGCGAAACAGTGGCGCTCGTGGGCGGATCCGGATGCGGAAAATCGACCTGTTTGCAACTCATTCAGCGGCTCTACGATCCTCTCGGTGGACAGGTGAGTGGCGATTTGTCAGGTTTTGGTTCTCACCAGAGAAACAATTCGTTATTTCGTTGAAATTACTAACTTTCACGATAAATGCAACGCGAAAAGCACTCATTAAAAAAAAGTGTTGGAATTTTTCTGTTTACAAAAATTATTTTAAAGGGATAAAGAATAACGTCGTTTGTATGAGTTGGTACGAAAATGTAGAGGTGGTTAATAAATAAACGCGCAATGTAACTCCAAAAATGTCCGAATGGCGTATTTATCCCTCGTGAAATGTGACATTGAATGAATAACTTGGCGAGCGACAGTAATTTACTTGGCATTATTCAAAAAATAATTGTTTTATAGCCATCATCGCCGTATTATATTTTCCATCATCCGTAAAGCCATCGAACACGTTTCGAGCGTCGTCTTATCGCTATCGATATCAGCTTACTTATCCTATTTATGTTTTCACGACGGAGAAAATTTGTGGTGGAAATTTTTTTAGTCGCACTTTCGCGTGATCGATATCATTAAATTAACTCGATCGGAATCAAATATATTGTGCGGTGAAGGACAACGCAATTTTCACACGGGCGCGGTTTTTATGGCAGCATAGCAGTCGCAGGTGCAGTAATGTGGCACGCTGTACATTCGTGTAATAAATGTTTTATGGTTTATGCTCTCTGGTTTCGTCTTGTTCTATTCGATGAATGTATTGCGCTTGCGTGTTCGATAAAGTCGTAAACTTTCAGTTGCGTACAAACATTTAGTTGCAATACCAAAATAAATATTGTGTAATATGGATTTTTCTATAAATACGTTGTTTTCTTGCTGTGCGTACAAAAATACAATAATATATTTTTTGTAAATCGTTCTATTGCATTTCTATATATTTTTTCTGACATTTTTCTCGTCAAATCACGTTTTTAAATTTTTTCACTAGTTTCACTAATTCCGTGCTTTTATTATTATTTTAATCTTATTTCAATTTTATTATTGTGATTTAATATACGTAAAGCAATAATGTTAATCAGCGTAAAGGAAAAATACATATATTTGTCCTGCTTGGAAGCTACGTTGATTGATGGCGACGTCTATTTTCATATAAATGACGCTCTTCCGCGTCACTCTCGCCGCTCGGCTATCGATTCTCGTTTCTCGCGGGATGCGCTCGGATGTGGCGTGCGCGATGTGTGCACGTAAGAGACAATTTTCAAAATTGTCCGTATTTTTCTATGCAGGTCCTTCTGGACGGGGTTGACGTGTCGACGCTGAACGTTCACTGGCTACGCTCGCACATCGGCGTGGTCGGGCAGGAGCCGGTGTTATTTGACACAACTATACGGGAGAATATCCGCTACGGAAACGACAGCATCACCGAGGAGAAGATGATTAAAGCCGCGAAGGAAGCGAACGCTCATGACTTCATCAGCAAATTGCCGGAGGTGAGCACCCGTCGCACCGTTTTCTCGTATTCCAGCCGCGCCCTTTACCCGTCCGGTATTATAGTTTCCTTTCTGGTCGTGCCGGGCGTGAGTTCGATTGATTCAGCCAGTTTGAACGGGAAGTCGGTGGAGCGGGCGGATACGTTGGCGTGTCGCTCGCGATTGAAAACCCAACGAAGATATTGTCCAACTTTGATTTTTCCCCCCCAAAAAAGCTTCTTTACGATGCTTTTATTCTGATTATTTTGAACGAAACAAACGTGGATTCTAGAGATAATTATTGTTGAAAGTTGTTATTCGAAGATGCGCGAAATAATATTGGTTAAATTCTGCCGTCGCGAGAATAAATCCGCTGCGACCGATTTCCATGTTTCGCAAAATGAATTATTGTCAGTGCGGGAGATTGCGCGATTTTGTTATTCGATGAAATTTTGTCGGACACGTGTAAGTTCCGTGAGATTTCAGCGAGCAACAAATGTCGAGTTTGATGTAACGAGATAAAGCAATAAATTCCGATCGGTGATTTTCCCCCGTCACGAGAATAATTTCCTGACTGGATATAATCGTTGTCATCGCGCGTTGCGATTTGTTAACAATAGTCTCAGGTGCGCCCGGCGGCGCGCGTAGCGCGCGCGCAAACAAGCGATAAAACACGCGTGCTAAACCGTGTGCGAGTAAATAACATTATCCGAGATTACGCGTGTGTCAACGATTAGGCGTTTATTAGCGGATTATCGGTAGGTGAATTCAATACTCGCGATGGTTTAACCTGTGCACCTATCGCACACGGTAGGAAAAATGAAGCCGGCTGGATATCGGTGTGTAAGTTTATCAGCGTTTGCAATTGATTGGTGCGCGCTGCGGGCCGCCGCGATAACAATTGTGGATTGTTTCCGATAGTTATTACATTAACTGTTAGATTACGCGCGATAAAAATGAATTCAATGAACCTTATGCAGAATTTATTAGTGAATTCTTCGCCCAAAAAGCAATTTTTTTTTTTTATTCATAGCATTCGGGACGGCCTGTGCGGACTCGGATCAAAGCATCGATCGAGGATTATCGTTATCAACAAACGTGTTGCAGCTTGCGTATTTATTAAACCGGGCGTTGCATATGCACCACAGGTGTGACAAGCTATAATATTTCGCCCTTGATTAAATAACCGTTATTTCAAACCGCAAATCGCTCGAAAACTGCCCTCGGGCAATTGATAGCTTTGGCCGGCATTACTGACGATACTATGCCCGGCATTGTACACCCGTGATTACAAATGCACATCGCGTGAATAACGGGATTCTTGTAAATTTGAAAATAATAGAAAAAGATTGCGAGGAAAACATGTGCAAAACTTTTGCATTTTTTTGCAAAAAAAAAACACAGATAAACTACCTTAATAGAATTCTATCACGCTGAGAATTTTTATAGCGAACAAACTGACGAATTCATGACTAACTTGAAATCAAAATGATCAAACGATAACGAACAATACATTTGTAGAAGTTGTTCATAGTTTTGGTTAAAAAAAAAAAGAATCATTTTTCTCGAGACGCCCCGAGTCCGCGATGATATATTCTGCTGTCAACTCGATAATGTGTAAGGATCAAAACGATGAAATCTTCGGATTTAGGGATACGACAGTCCAGTGGGCGAGAGAGGATCTCAACTATCGGGTGGGCAAAAACAACGAATTGCCATCGCGCGCGCGTTGGTGAGGAATCCGGCGATTCTTCTGCTGGACGAGGCGACGTCCGCGTTGGACGTTCACAGCGAGGCGACCGTGCAAAAGGCTCTCGACGCTGCAGCGAAGGGAAGGACGACGATTATAGTCAGTCACAGGCTCTCCACGATCACGAATGTCGACAGGATCGTATTTATCAAGGACGGGGTCGTCGTCGAGCAGGGCAGCCACGAAGAATTAATGGCACTCAAAAACCACTATTACGGGCTGCATTCCGCGCACGAAAGAGACCTAGCTAAAGGTGCGCGTCGACAATTTTTATCTCTATTATTTTCGTATGAATTTTTTCTAAGCATTTAAGTACGCTGTTCGTTCTCTGTTATTAGACAAGGCCACAAGAGCTGCCGCCAAGGCCACGGTGACAAGCCCGAAAATGAAGACGAAACCGCCACTGATGAAGCAATTCTCGACACTGTCGATGCACTCTCATCGACTCTCGCTCGCGAGATCCAGTACTTCGGAAGAATTGGACGAGCACGAAAAACCTTACGAGGCGCCCATGATGAGGATATTCGCGCTGAACAAACCGGAGTGGCCGTATAATTTAGTCGGTAATTTCCGGCCGATGGGAAGCCTTGCCTCTTAATCTTTTTCATCTTAAAATCGTTTTTCTTTTTCTTTCTTCGATGTAATTATTCAAAATTAATATTTTCTAAGTGACTTCGTATTTTGCGTGATCCTCGACAGGATGCCTCGCGGCGGCGACGGTTGGCGCGTCCTTCCCAGCTTTCGCCGTGCTGTTCGGCGAGGTCTACGCCGTGCTGGGTCTTTCGGACGCGGATGAAATCGTGCAGAGAACCGTCTACTACTCGATACTCTTCATCGTCGTCGGCATTGTCACCGGTGTCGGCACTTTCCTGCAGATGCACATGTTCGGCCTGTCCGGCGTGCGCATGACGACGCGTATAAGAAAAATGGCGTTCGCCGCGATACTGAAGCAGGAGATGGGCTGGTACGACGAGGACTCGAACAGCGTGGGCGCGCTCTGCGCGAGATTGTCGTCGGACGCCGGGGCCGTTCAGGGCGCGACCGGGACTCGCGTCGGCTCTGTGCTTCAGGCGTTCTCGACCCTCGTCATCGGCATCGGTCTCTCGATGTATTACACGTGGAAAATGACGCTGGTCTCGGTGGTCTCGATCCCGCTGGTGCTCGGCGCGGTGTTCTTCGAGGCGAGGGTGATGAGCGGCCAGGGTATGCAGGAGAAGAAGAAAATGGAGGCGGCCACGCGAATCGCCGTCGAGGCGATAACCAACATCCGCACGGTCGCCAGCATCAACAAGGAGGAGTTGTTCTTCAACAAGTACTGCGTGGAGCTGGATCACGTCGCCAAGGCGACCAGGATCAGAAACAGATTGCGGGGAATAGTGTTCTCGTGCGGGCAGACCGCGCCGTTCTTCGGATACGCCATAAGTCTTTATTACGGCGGCTACCTGGTGGCAAGGGAAGGGCTGGATTATCAGAATGTCATCAAGGTGTCGGAAGCGTTGATCTTCGGCTCGTGGATGCTCGGCCAAGCGTTGGCCTTCGCGCCCAACTTCAACACGGCCAAAATCTCGGCTGGCAGGATATTCAGGCTGTTGGACAGAACGCCGGAAATCACTTCGCCGTCGGAATCGGAGGGGAAGGACCTGGACTGGGTGAGTTCACCGTGATATTATATCCGGCGTGTAAACTAGTTACGCGAGCGGCGAGGTATACAGCGCGCCTCGGCCATTGCACGCTTTCCCACCATAATGTGTATTTGGCGGTGGTTATTAAACAAGCAAGAGATTGGTCGATGCGATATAATAATGCGATTTAAACGATATCAATGTTTGCGAAATTCAAATCGCTGTCGGCTTGGAACTATCAAAGTGTTTAATGTTGAATGATAATTGTGTCACAGAAGATAAAACATGTAAATTAAATCTCCGCCGAGGAAGAATAGAAAATTCGCCGGGCAACGTGGAGCCGCAATAAAGCGCAGAACCTATATAACTAGATTTAACTTTTAATTAGTTTCTTCGCGCAAAGTTAATTGAATTTTGTGCGACATTGAACATGGCATTTACATTCATTACTGAATCGTGAAATCATTAGTCTTAACGATTTATTTCGCGAGTCGATAGACCGTTAAAGATGGATTGTTAGATTTAACCTGATTTGCCCAATAATTAATATTTGTCAATTAATTAATATTTATTAAATGATTAACATTTGTGAATTAATTTCTCGCGTAATTAGGCAAATAAATTTGAATAATTAAAGTGATCAACATAATTAAATTAAAAATTAAATTAATAAAATATACCAATTTTGTTAATTAATTACACAATTAAATTAAGAGGGTCGAGAAATTTTCGAATATTTTATATATGAACAAAATTTCCCGGGAATTTCGGGAAACGATTCCAGAATATAAAACTACTGGCAGCTTGTTTTACGCGGACTTTTCCATAATCTCTTTTACGACTCCCACAAGATTTTTCTAAATGCATTTTGTATTTGTAGCTCTCTTGTCACACAGGCATAGAATTTGTTATGTAAGATTTATTATGCATTGTACTCGCGGTACTATCGTATCACGGAATTGATAACAGGATTTTTAACGGAGCATGAAAACTCGTAATATACTCGACAAACAGGTTACGTAACCTACGTTGCATACAGCACGGGGGAGATTGCAAACAGTTTTAATGATCTGTGAAACGTGCGCAACGGTTACGCGAGTTAATTGAATGATCACAACGACGCCTTGCCGTAAACGTCGCTGATTGCCGGATGCAAGTTTAATAGTCGCATCTGTCCGCGGTTTTCTGTTTCGTTTGCAGCGCAGCACACGTTTGCGCGCGCGTTCAAGCGACATGCAAATGATATCGCATTCATTAGGAATTCGTGGCTTAACTGATAGCCCCCCGAGCAGCGTTTCGTTAATTACGTTCGAAACGCGGAATTGACTTTGGTTGATTTCGCGGAACCAAGACCGACAGAGAATACTTCGTGTAAATTAAATGAAGCGTAGTACCTCGTTAAATATCTTCGAATAATTTAATCGCGTTACAATAACGCTTTTACTGCGACTAACTATTCCGTAAAAAAAAAAAAACTAGAACGTGTTCCTGCTATAATGAACGACGCTTCCTCTATTTTTCGTATCGCTTAGAGCTTAGGCGCGTCACGAGTGTAATGCGAGATCATGGAATCTTTTTCGATTAACTAGCGTGGTATCTTTCTTTCTTTCAGAAAGCGGACGGCTTGATACAATTCTCGAAAATCGACTTCCACTATCCGACGCGGCCGGAGATGCAGGTGCTCAAAGGGCTAAATCTAATCGTGAAGCCGGGTCAGATGGTGGCCCTCGTGGGCCAGAGCGGTTGCGGAAAGTCCACGTGTATTCAGCTGCTGCAGCGGCTCTATGATCCGCTCTCCGGCAGCGTGACGCTGGACCGACGCGACATCGCCTCGGTCTCGTTGACCAGCCTCAGGTCGCAGCTCGGCGTTGTAGGCCAGGAGCCCGTGCTTTTCGATAGAACAATAGCGGAGAATATCGCTTACGGCGACAACAGTCGACAGCCGCCGATGGACGAGATTATCGAGGCCGCCAAGATGTCTAATATCCACAGCTTTGTCGCTTCCTTGCCGTTGGTTAGTTCGCGTCGTTATCGCAATATTCACGCGGAGAGTTCGAAGTTTATTGAAAAAGAAATAAGAACAATGAGAGAACGATGTGCAAATACATTGTAGAATGCAATTTAATATATCAAATTCACGTGGCGCGTGTCGATATTCCGTAATCGTTCCTTTTCATACGAATAAAAATGTTCGACTTGTCTGTTTAATTCAGGGTTACGACACGAGATTGGGATCAAAGGGCACGCAGCTTAGCGGTGGCCAGAAGCAACGAGTGGCGATCGCGCGTGCGCTACTGAGAAATCCTCGAATTTTGCTGTTAGACGAAGCCACTTCAGCTCTCGACACTCAGAGTGAACAGGTAAGAATCGCTGTTCTCCTAAAGAAAGTGCCTCGTGAATAATTTTATCGACGATTTATCCTTTTATCCGTTTCTCAATATCAAGAATGAAGCGTTCGGCGGGCGTTATTCAAGCGTTATTTACTTCGAATCGCGATTACGCGAACAGCGTTCGGAAGTGCATCGAGCCGAAAAATAAGAGCGATAAAAGCGCGCGTCGAAAGCGATCACTCCTGAAATAAACGCGTCCGCGGATCGTTGCATAATCATTGCAGGAAGTCGCTTATTAATCGTATAAAACGCTTTGTGCGAGATTCGCGAAGCAGAACGATCTCGGTCCGGAATGAAAGAGGCGTTCAGCTTTCGCCGTTTGCTCGGTGTTAGCGTGTACGCTTTCTATATCAATTGACGGCGCATCCGCGATCCTCGGAAGGAGATGACGTCCCAGTTCGCTGATGGCGATGGCGAGATCGGCGCGGCAAGATTGGATTCCGATCGAAAATCATACAAACGACACGGTCGTTATCGCTCTCCCGAGACGGCCGGCCGACGACCGAGGCAATCGGGTTAATGGCCGTCGAAAGTGAAAACGGCGCGATTTATTCCGGCCACGTGGCTCCCTCGGGTGTCATTCGCGAATTTTCTCCGTGAATTTTGCCGACGGAATCGCACGTTTTATAATGCCGTGGTGGCAGCCGTTAAGAACGTCTGTTGCGTTCTCGTCGCGCCCTTTAATTCGCAAAAAGAGAGAGGATGCCCTCGTTATCCATTTTTCTTAACTCTTTCGCATTTATGACGTGTGCGAGGATGTAATTGCTCATAGTTTTTGTTAATCTCGCGCCAGTACCAAGTCTTTACGTCTGTTTATCTTAACTTTCTTTTGAATGTACACAAGCGGAAAAGAAGAGCAGTGTTTAAAGTATGACAGAGGCAAATCGAATTTTTAATTGCGAAAAGAAAAATCTTAATCTTCTTGAGCGTGTTTGCACGCGACTATAAATAAGCCAAGAATTTTCGTATAATCTATTTTTAACTTTGTACTTAGAGAAATATTCTACATGAAATTAGTAACGAAATGGAAATATAAATTATTACAATAATGAATTGTTATCTCATAAATTTTTCTACTTCGCGCGCCATTAAAGCGAGCTGCTTTACATTTTTAGCGCGAAAACTGCTATTGAGACAAACGTACGCGGCACAAACAGCGCGGAATTATGTTATAAACGGAACTATTTCCAATAAGCAATAACGGGCGCGATATTCGGCAGCGTTGGGATAATAAATATCTGTATATTTACGATATCGAGCAGACTAGACTATCGACTATGCGGGCCGAATGCCGATTTCGCTGATCTAAACTATCGATACGGTGCGCGCGTTCGCGGCGCAGCGATGAATATTAACGAGGCCGGGGTAGATTTTCGCGAAAAATACAGGTAAAAAGTGCGAATCAAAGTGCACGCGGCGAAATAATACTCGCGACCGCGTATTACGCAAACTATATGCCGACGCGCTTTGTATGATAATTCTCGCGCGTTCGATTAAAACTTGGCGTGATAGCCGCACGGATCAGCCCTCTGTCACAGCGGCACAAATTGTATAACCGTGCAATCACAATCTTCTCTGTCCGTGTGTTCGTAAAACAATTTCATAAAAAAAACAAAATAAAATAAAAAAAAAACACCACGATAATCCATCAAACGAGTCTGGGTCTCAACAGCCGGATAAATATTTTTTTTTGTACTACTTCATTCCTTCTCTCTCCCTCTCTGTCGATCTGTCGAATGAATCGGCTGCAATGCCATTGCTGATATTATCGCGCTAACAATCGGAAATGTTCAGCTTTACGAGCAGGCGGTTGTTACGCACCCCGGTCGGGAAACGGCTCATCGTGGCCAAATGAATTTCGCTGGTATATTGTTTCGACTCTCT